AGGAGGCCTCTGGCAGCAAGGGGTGCTGAGCCAACTGCCATCAATGGAAACAGCACATGTGGATGACCCCGTTTCCAAGAGATTCCTTCGTGAGCCCTCTGGGAGTGGTGACAGGTTTGAGTTCAAGATGAAGGAGCTCCCTGGGGAATCAGGGCCTACAACCTGGGGTTGTCCCTGCCACCAAAGGCAAAGACAGACCTGTAGCCTCCTGTCTGCCTTTTTTTGCAGTTCTGCCAAGATTCCAGTGCCAGTTACCTAGAACTTTCATGGGCCCAAGCGTTATTTTAGAGATGGACAGTGCAACATATGATGTTTCTGAAAGCATTTTCCTGTAAGTCTTTCAGACTTTTCTGCATCCACTGTCCTCCAAACAGCAAACCTCAGAACCAGCACTAACAGAAAAGCTGTCAGTTCTGTCCCACCCTTGGGACAACACATGCTGTCAGAGCTGAAAGATGCTCTTTCATACTTTCGGGAAGTACGAGCCTTCTGCTTAAATATCTCTAGCAACAGGCAGCTCACCCCTTCACAAAGTAGCTATAATCCCAGGGCTAAGCAGTTTGAAGGTCTTCTAGAGCCCAGCTTTAGATCCCTGCTCCATAGCCCTCAGAGGCAGATCTTTAAGAGTCAAGTCTCAGGGAGACTGGGTGTCCAACTCTTGATTTCAGCTCAGGTCATTGTATCAGGGTCATGGAGACCTACTTGGGATTCTCTCTCTCCCTCTCCCTCTGCCCCTCTGCCCCAACCCTGACCCCAAAAAAGAAGCGTCAGGTCTCGGCCCACACTTCCTCCTTAGTTTTTTCCTCTAAGCTAAAGGATCTAAGTGCAGCCTTTTGTATGATATCATGGTTTGCAGACTCACCACCACTCTGAATCCCTATTCCATGACTCTAGTTTATTCCTCTTAAATGGACTGTTCAGACCTAAATGTAGTATCTTAGTGTCACCTGGCCAGGGGAAAAGAAAAGAGTACTGTGGCCCCTCTTATCCATCTATTCATGCTTGTCCTCATGCAACAAATATTTACTGAGCACCTACTATGGGCCTGGATGGGTCAGACCCTGGAGTCAAGCCACAGGCTGAGAGACAGAGGCCTCACCTGGTGGGTCCTGGAATCCTGGGGCAAAGACAGACATGAACGGTATGAAGACATCACAGAGAAGTATGGAAGCTGGTAGGAGAGACAAGCATGTCTGCTTCGTCTTGGAGGGAAAGGCTTCCCTAAGAGCTGCTCTTTGGGCTATGATGCAAAGAATGAATAGGTGAGGAGGGTGACATGAAGGGTGGGGAGCATTGCAGGTAGGAGGACTGGGTGGTCTGAAGGCCATGAGGAAGGAGGGAGCATTGGGAATATTGTTAAGGGTCAGTGTGACTGGCACACAGCGGAGGAGGCTGCCTGTGGCCTCCAGTGCATCTACAAGGATGAGGGGAGACAGGGAGCAGATTGTGTGGGCTCATAAGCCAGGATAAGAATGGCGGATCCTGTTCTCAGGTCAATGGGAAGCCCATGAAGGGCTTTAAACAGATTGTAAAGTGGTCAAATTCACATTAAAAGAAAAAGGTTTTGTGACCACAGTGTGGATACTCAATTAGAAGGAGGCAAGAGTAGTTGCAGGAAGAGGTCATCCAGTAGCCCACAAGAAGGACGCGGAGGTGGGCATCATAGGTGGCTGTGGGAGTGGCAAGCAGTCAGCAGATTCAAGAGGCACAGTTAGGGTGGCATTGCTAGGACCTGGTGATTGATTACTGAGGGGCAGGCAAGGGAGGTAATTTCCAGGAAGTCCAGAGGACATAAGGCCTCTGGGTGAGAAGAGTAGGGGGTGGTGTTGCTGTTCAAGAGAGCTGAGGTCCACCTGGCTCTTTTCGCAGCCAATCACACTGCCTACAGTCAAGAAAACCCCTCCATCCTTTGCACGCATGCAGCTGGGATCCAGCCACATATCCCTCAGAAAGAGAAAGAGATCCCCTGGCATGGTCTGCGTCCCTAACCACCCTGCTGATCCCCCCTGACCAGTGCCAGTTTCAGCTCACCAAAGAGCCCGAGTGGAGACCAGAGCGCACACTGGGCCACCTAGCTCCCATAGAGCCTGCCACGTTCACATGGTGGGTCTCCTGCCCTCTGTCAGGCTGTGCTCTCCCCTTTCCCCAGGTGCCCATCTTGAAAGAAGCTGCTAATGTTCACAGTTAAGAATGGCCCCAACAGAAAGCTGCAGGCCAGTTCTGAAGCTGGAAGGGCGGGCCCTGTTTCAGCTTCTAGTCCTCTCTGTGGCTGAGAGAGGAAGATGCTTATGGCAATTGGCTTCAAAGGCCTGGTGTGGCAGGGCCTGTCTCAGGAGCATGCTGATTAGCAAGAATTACAACTTCTGGAATTAGACAGTGGTGAGGGTTGCACAACTTTGTAAATACACTTAAAAACACACACTTTTAAAGGGGAATTTTATGGTGTTTGAATTGTATCACAATATAAATGAAGAAATAGATAACGAAAGAAAGAAATAGTCTATGGAGGTAACTACTATAAACAGGAGCGCTGGGTCCAGGTTGATGATAAAGGAGAGAAGCCAAGTAACATCTTCAAAGGCTTTGGCTCCCCTTCGTGGTTTCCTGCTTGGGGACATTCTCAGCCCAGTGCTCTTCCATAGTAATTAACTTCAGGCCATTTGGGTTCTTAGCTGCCCTGGGAGTAGGGCAGGAAGGAAAGGTCACTGGCTTCCCTCCACAGGGACCTTTTTCTTCTCTACTTGAGCCTGGGCTGGAAAAGCGTTGTGGTGGCTCTACCCTCCCTGAGTGCTCTGGGAGCGCTCACTCATCTGGAGTTTGGGTGTCTTGCTAACCAAAGTATGTCCTACCTGCCCCTTCTCTCTGCCCTCTGTCGCCTCTTCCTCCCCATCCAGATATCAGAATCTGGGCTTTGTGCCCTCTCTCTTCCTTTTTGCCTGTCTGGGTTCTCCTAGGGTTAGGAGAAATGGGGGCAACTACCTGGCCTCTGGCTCAGCATTTAGTCCAGGAGCCGCTGACGGAGGGACCAGGGCGCCCTCCTGTGGCCATAAGCAGCACTGCTTCTTCCCGCCATCGGGCCTTGAAATTTTTTCCAACTGGAATTTTAATGTTCAACTCTGGTAGTTGGGCCACAAAGAAGATAAATTAGCCACATAGATTAAGAAATAAAATGTTGGTGTTTATATTCTGTATCTTTATTTTAAAATAGGCAGTGTGGGGCAGCCTGGGTGGCTCAGCGGTTTAGCACCTGCCTTTGGCCCAGGGCTTGATCCTGGAAACCTAGGATGGAGTCCCATGTCAGGCTCCCTGCAGGGAGCCTGCTTCTCCCTCTGCCTGTGTCTCTATCTCTCTGTCTTTCTCTCTGTTTCTCATGAATAAATAAATGAAATCTTTAAAAAAAAAAAAAAGGCAGTGTGAGGGGCACCTGGGGACTTAGTCAGTAAAACGTCTGCCTTCCGCTCAGAGCTCAGATCTTGATCCCAGAGTCCAGGGATCCAGCCCCACGTTGGGCTCCCTGCACAGCAGGTAGTCAACTTCTCCCTCCCCCTCTGCCCCTCCCCCCTGCTCATGTGCACTCTCTCTCTCTCAAATAAATCTTTAAAAAATTAATAATAAAAAATAAGAAAAGAGGCAGTGTGACCTAATGGAAAGTACCATGGCCTATGGAATTGAGCAAACTCCCCAGCTATGTGGTCTCAAGCCAATTTCTCTGAGACTTATTCCTTCACATGTAAAATGTACATCAATGTAAGTAAGACCTACCCCCTAGGAATGTTGTGGAATAAAATTCAATATAGTTAAATACCTTGCACAGTACCTACCATGAAGTAGGTACTCAGTACACGTTCCCTGCTTTTATTGTTGTCATGATTACAACGGAAGACTAGCTAGGGGAGCACTTTCTCTCTTCGGGGAGATCAGAGAGCAGGGCCAGCTGCCTCACACAACTGTAGGGGCCCCTTACATTATATTCTCTCCAAAGCCACTTTCCCTGAGGTGTGCAGTTCCGGCTGTCTTTGGAGTTGATCCAGGTGCCAGTTCGGGGATCTTCTGACACAAGGAGGTAGAGAGAGATTTAGAAAAATACACGAGCGAACAGAATAAAACAATTTTGTAATAAATGAAAGATAAAGCCAGACGAGCCAGTCAGAAACAGATTGGGCGCCCCGCTCCCCTCCAGTAGATAAGTTTGGCACCCTGCCTGGCACCTGGATAGAGCCCAGCAAGTGCTCATTTCCTTCCCTTCCTGTGCCCTCCTGCATGAGGCCCTGAGCAGAGTATGAACATGGCCTTGGTCTGTTCATTTAGTAGTCAGGTGATTTTCTTCCTATGAGGTGGGAGGGCCTAGAGAGGAACACCCAGGGGGTGGTCCACTTGTGGGAGCAGACAGCAAGTAGGGGCACGGCCACCATGGCGTCACAAGACGGGGTGTGTTCTCTGACCCTCTCAAGTGCTGAGTCCCCAGTAGCTCTGGACCCTCTTCCCTTGTCTGCCATCTGTGTCTCAGGACGGAGGTGCCTACAGTTGCTGGGGCCCTTGGTAGCTTATTAAATCTCAGTGCCACTTGCCAAGACTTCTTTAAGCTTCCTGGCTGTTCTTTTTTGCCTTTTCTGCTCAGCTGTATTTATTCTGAACTAAATGGTCCTCACTGCAGGATGAAAGGATTTACTGCTTAAGTATATGAAAAGAAATCTTGGCTGCATTACAGTTGCGCCCTCTCCTTGCTGCCCTCCCTCCTCCTTCCTCAAGCTCTGTCCACTAGCTGGTGCCACAGAGACTGAACTGGGAGCCTGTCCTTGGTCGTATGGTCAGCACCGTTTGGTGCCAGAGCCCCACTGATGGGGAAGCGAGGTGACTGGGAGGAGTTGGCTTTGGGGATCCTTCTCCTGAATGTCTTGCTGTCCCAGGAAAGACTGGAGCCCCAGAAACAGCTCACTTACATCTCCCCACCCACACCCATATATACATTCTCTCACATTTTCTCCCTCTTTCCCCCTCAGGATTGTGCTCATGGATGACGCCATGGATTGCTTGATGTCTTTTTCAGATTTCCTTTTCGCCTTCCAGATCCAATTTTACTACTCAGGTGAGAGTCTCCTGGGTCCCATGTGACTCCTGTGAGAGCCATGTCTGCCTTTGCTACCCTGGTGCCCTTTCCATCTGGTGCCTGGCACACCCATCTCTCTCCCCAACTTCCTTTGGTGGTGTGCTCCCCCATGGGTCACTGACAGGATGTCTAGTTCCCACTGGCGGTCACAGATTCAGTGTGCACAGCCTGGTCCCTTAGCCTCCTCAAGACATTGAAAGCCACAGGGCTTTCAGTCAGCGGTGCGGGAAATCCATCTAAGTGCCGGTGACCATACCTAGAACAGTGCACGCCGCTGTGACAGCACACGACACGTTCACAGGGTATCAGTGTGCCAGGCCTAGCACTGACTTCCATGCTTACAACAGCCTAAGGAGACAGGGCCTCTGAGACAGGGCCTCAGCTTAAAGGGAAGGAGCCAAACCCACAGAGCTAGTAAGTCGTAGAGCCTAGACCTGCACCGAAGGCTCACTCCAAAGCCAGTGCTCTTAGCCCTCTGCCGTGCAGGGCTCCCCGTTGGCCCTGACTCCTGTGTGTAGGCACACATTTTACCGCCCACACAGCTTTGAAGAAGCAGACAGCTATCTCACACGCCTGTCCTACTCCCCATCCACACCAGATGGATCCTCAAATCCCTTCCCAAATCAGGTGTAATAGAAACAGATGAATAAATACAAATGCACACTGGCTCACACAGTGCACACAGCAAGGTCAAATGGAATGTTGGGCTCAGAAATTGCTGACTATGTCCATAGACAAACTCACTTAAAATGGGCTCTTCCAGTAAACAGGAGGCTGTCCTTGGAACCTGGACATGGCTCCCCTGCCAACCGGTGACCCCAGCCAGCCTTAGCCTCTCACAGGCGCCACATTCTGTTTTCGTGATGGCAGCCCAAGGGCCTGGTCTGGCAGGGGCTGGAGCCTGGGGTCTTGCCACCTGCTCTGAGCAGCTGCAGGCATCTACTTTCCATTTCTCTGAAGCTCCTGGGCTCTGGAGAAGGAGCAGCCAGGTCTGAGAAAACCTTCTCCTCCTGCCTTTCAAATGTGTCATAAATTAGCAACTTGAGGCCTTCTTCCACCGTGCTTTCTTGAGTCAGAGAGGCAGGTGGCCTCACAAGTGAGAAGGGGTTTACCAGCACATGTGTGCACACGTTCACTCTTTAAAAAATATTTTTAGCACATAACATGTGCCCAACACTGTGCTAGATACTAAGGCAGAAAGGTTGACAAGGCACAATCCCTGCCTTTGTTCAAGAATCTTCCACTCCAGCAGGACGGAGAGCAAACAAATACCCAGAAAACTCATCCTTGGAAAAGCACTACAAGGAATTCTGGGGTGCTCCAAAGGTGTGCAATAGGGCACCTGCCCAGTCCAGAAACAGCTGCTCTGAGGAGGGGACACTGGAGCTAAAACACACATTAGGGACATTGCTCACGAGCACGCTGGTCCCATGCAGTTGAGGGCCTGGAGCATGCCAGTGGGTGTGCTGAGGAGGTGGTGAGCAGAGAAGGGCAGACCCAGCGAACGGACGAGGTGTGTCCCCCTCGCCGACCTATGCTCCCCACCCACCATGGTCCACAGAATTCCTGGAGAGTGTGGCTGCCATCTATCAGGACCTGCTGGTGGGCAAGAATCCCAATACGGTGATCGTGCCGACGTCCTCCAGTGGTCAGCACCGCCAGCGGCCTGCGTTGGGTGAGGCTAGCACGCTGGAGGGCGTGGAGGCGTCCCTGTTCTACCAGTGTCTGGAGAACTTGTGTGACCGGCACAAATACAGGTGAGCAATAAGCATAGAGGCCTCGCCTCGGCCCCGGGGAGCCGGGCTGCTGGCTCGGGAACACCGCTAGCAGGTGTTCTGACTGGCGCGGGGCTTCCAGGGACCTCGAGGGGTATAGTGTCGGTTAGACCAGCGCCAGGAGATGGATCAGCTCTAGCTTTTTGGAGAGAAGGGGTTAACATTCACTGTACAAAGCATGCACCCTACAGAAAGGGAGAACGAAGCTGTCCACGGGCCACAAAGTCTCCTTAGAGACAGAACAGCCAGTTTTGGTCTCTTCCAGGAAGAGACTGCCACCCCTTGCCTTTTGGCCATTCCCTTCCTCTGCTGCCCTAGTGAGAGCACCAGGTAGGGAACATGCCAGCCCATCCTGTCCCCAGTCAAGGCCTTGCTTCTGGAGATGTGCTGTGTTCCCCCTGGGCAGACGAGGCCCCTCAGTCCTGGCTTTGGGCACCCTCCCAAGCCTGAAGGTCTGGAGGAAAAGAAGGCACTAAGTTTTGCTGGCCTTTGAATCTGGCATCTGTATCCTCCCTTCTAGCTGTCCACCCCCCGCACTTGTCAAAGAGGTATTAAGCAACGTTCAGAGACTGACCTTCTACGGATTCCTTGTGGCTCTTTCAAAGCATCATGGGATCAACCAAGCCCTAGGTAAGCCAAAGCTCGCTCTGGCTAGACTCTCCTGCTCCACCACAGAGCCATGTGGGGACTCGCTGCTCTTGGCAGACATAGTCCCAGCAAGGAAGGGGCATCACCATCTCCACCTTGACTTCTCAGGGTCAGTCTCGGACGCCTCAGGAGCCAGAACAGGCACAACAAAGACTGTGCCCTCTTAGGCCTCCTGCACTCGGGTGGTAAGGGACAGCCTTCCCCACCCAAGGCCCTGCCCCAACATGAAGCGGCCTCTTGGGGGCAAAGGTGTGCCCAGCCCCTCCCCGGAGAATGCCCCGTTCTGCTCTGGGGAGTGGCCTGCAGGTTGGGCAGACACAGGGCTATTTACTAAGTGGCTTTGGAGATTATAGATCAAAGGGACTTGAATCCCATTTGTAAGCAGGGCAAAGGTGTGTCTGAGGAGGCCTTTTTTCCCAGCTGGGAAAAAAAAAAAAAGAAAAAGAAAACTGATTAATCTGAACAGAAGCAAAAAATGGGGAGAGAGGCCTGCACTGGCCCAGTTTTTCACGCCCAGCGCTTCTTCTCACTGGCCGGCTTCCTCCTCCCACTGGCTTGTGTCCCGTTCACACCTGCTGCTCCCCCAAGGGAAGAGCCCCCAGACCCCTGCCCACCAGAGCTGCAGGAGTTGTATTATCTCCCTCTTCAAGAGTATCCAGGTGTGTTTGAGGCCTCAGATCTCACATGATATAAAGCCTGCTGGGGATGCATGCAGGAACGCAAGCCCCACAGGACTCACTGAGGCCCACTGAGGCATGATGCTGCAACAGCAGCCGACTTCCTCCGAAGTGATGCCTGGGGGTGCACAGGACCATGAGTCATGCTGGTCGCCAAGGTCACTGGCCAGACTGGAGTCAAAAGGCAAAGAGGAGAAGTCAGGAGTAAGGGGGCAGTGGGTAGGACTTGCGTAGGGTTTCTCTCTCACCTCGGTAACAGACCGCCCTCACTTCCTTTCCATTAGTCAGGCCACAGGAAGGAAAAGGAAAAAGTGGGCCTCATGCCCTTACTTTAAAAAGGGCAATCACTCCGTCAACCACTTTTACCAGGCACTACCGCAGAGTGGAGAGGGAGATGGACAGAAGCACCTGCCCTCCGCCGCATCTCCAGTGTAGGAAACAGGGATCAGGAGATACTCAGGGTGCAGCCAGCTGTGGAGAGGGGCTGTCCTGCTCCCTTAGTCCTCAAGGTGGTCACAGAAGCACACACTCACACACATACACGCGCGCGCTCACACAAAACAAGAGGGCCCTGTGGAACATAGTTTGAAACCATTAAGAGCAAAAGGGGCCAGGAGGCATCAACTGGAAAAGCTTTGGGAAAGGAAGGAACTGAACTAGAGCCAGATGGGTGGGCTTAAGATCGGGGCTTTCCAGAGACCAGTGCTGTTAGCAGCCAGTTCTCCGTGCTGAACACCAGTGAGCTTTTCCCTCCAGCTGGCAGGTGAGACCCTTTCTATCTGTGCACTTCAGCCCCACCATCCCTCCACTGTGAACAGCTCAAGGGAGCATCCGAGAGGTGCTCCTCTCCCCTTCCCCAGTATCCAAGCACTACTGCCTTTGGTTTGTAGCTAAGGACACTAGCTCAGAAAGAGTTGTGGCCAAGCAGAGAGGAGCCAGATCCCCTCGGGCAGCTCCTGGCCATGCAGAAGAGTTTGATCCGATTCTGACCCAGCCTTCTCCTCTCGCCTCTCAAGAGTCTCTGAGGAGCTGAGACAGCATTTTTCATCATTCTGTCTCCAAAGTGGGTTCACTCTGACTAGGGTGGTGGGCACACAACTGTATAATTTCTGATTTGGGGGGGGATTAGCTGGACTGTATGTCTCTGGCTCCTTGTCAGCCCAGTACGTGGGGCCTCAAGGAAGGAACTGACCACCCCTCCACCAGCTCACACCCACCACCTAGTCTTGGTCCTGTGTGTGCAGGGACCTTGGGGTGTGGGGTGTCTCCCGGCCGCAGGGCCTGCCCCAAGTTGAAGAGGGTAGGCACAGGTTCACTAAATTTATCTAACAGGAGTCAGGACTTCCTGCTCCTGTAACAGGCCTCTTAAAACTGCTGTTCAGAGCCCTTCCCCACGAACAAGTCATAGGAATAGAAGGTACAGCATAGCGATTGCAGTCAATGATACTGAACTAGCGTTCATGGTGACAGACAGTAGCCAACTTCGTGGTGAGCTCAGCATGCAGAGGTGGCGAGCCACTGTGTTGTACACCTGGAACTAATATAGCATCGTGTGTCAACTGTACTCAAGTTTTTAAAAAATTCTTTTTTAGAAAGAGCACTTCCTCAGATCTTTTAGATGAGCCTTCCCAGGGTCCGCAGTGGAGGTAGACACCAAGGTGAGGAGCGTGGAGGCACCTGCCAGGCATGCGGCTGTCTGACCGGAGCCCGCCTGAAAGACGCTCAGGTTAAGTTTTGTGCCCTCCAATTATCTCCTAGGAGCTTTGCCTGACAAAGGGGACCTGATGCACGACCCAGCCATGGATGAGGAGCTGGAACGGCTGTAAGTGTCGGGTGGGAAGATGCTGCCCCCTTGTGGGAGAGGCCATACCTCTGTTGGACCAGGCAGTGCCCTACTGTAGGTTACACGGTGACTGCAGCACCCACGTCATTCCGAGAAGGGTTTGGGCTCCAGCAGAGGCCTGAGGCAGCCACTCTTGGAGTCCTTTGGGAATACAGCCCATGGTTTCATCCAAATACAAGAGTGACCGTGGAGGTCCTGGTCCCTAGACAGGAGACACCTAGCTGCCCTCTGGGTTTCTTCCCTCCTCCAGGCTGGCCCAGGTCCCAGGCCTGGTCAACTTGGCCACTGCCAATCCAGAGGCTGGCTGCCTGCCTTCCCGGACCCCTCCCCGGGTTGGCTCTCCCTGGAGACCCCTCCATCACGCCCGCAAGGTGGACGCAGAGAGCGATGGTTCCACTGAAGAGACGGATGAGTCCGAGACTTGAGGAGTCTAAAGGGTCCTGTCCACAACTCCCTCGTGCCCAGCTCCCCCCCCCACCCCCGCCCTTTGGGACTCCCGCCAAGCCCCCTCTCCAACTCCTGCGCCCTGCTGCCCTCTGCTGGTGACAAGCCTTGAATAACAGCCCAAGCCCAAAGACCGGCCAGAGGGGTCTGGTATCTGTCAGCCAAGTCTAGCAGTGACCCGGACAAGTAACAGCCTACTCTTCTTGGCCCTGTCTGCCTCTGCACTTTAGTCAGGACCCAAGCTGACAGCAGACTGAGCAGAGGCCGTGAGGAAGATGATGTTTGCTGACAGTCCCCATATAGGGTCTCCCCTCCCCTCACAGCACCTCTAGGGAGACCATGAATAACAGTGCAGGGCTTTGCATGGTCAGGGGTGACACCTGTGGCACACATACAGGGTGGCCATAAACACAGTGGCCTTCTCCTGGAGGGAGAGCCACTACTGTGACAGGACAAAGGGTAGGCAAGACCAGTCCACTTTCAAAACCTGCTCCAAGTCTCCTCTGTCTGTGTCTAATGGTTCAATGTTAAATGAATAAAGTCCCTTGCATCTGGTAAGTGGTGAGTCTAAACCACTAGACTGAGGATGGGGTGAAGGGAAGGGGCGAATTGGGGGTTTTGGTGCTGAGTCCCAGCTCTTCTGGCAGGAGTGGGAGGTGGGGGCCAGAGGACCACTCATCTGGAGACCAGCCTCAGATAATGAGCCAAGAGGGACTCCCCTCCAGCACAACTTTTCAAAGGTGCTCACAGCTGGAATGGCCCTTCAGAAAACAAGCTCATAGGGTTCAAGGCCAGGTTTCCATAACTCTTAACGACCCTGGCCTGAAAGGGTTAGCACTATAGTCTTCTCTAGCCAGGGTTTCATTAAATATTTGCTAAGCACCTGCTCAGGGTTGGGGCAATGGGGATGCAGCTGTGAATGACAGGCCAGAGGACAAGCTTCCAGCCAAGACTGGAGGAAGGACAGGACAGGTGGTCTTCAACCTCCTTTAATTGGCCAGAGGTAATCCAGAAAGTACAAGCCACCCAGGGACCCAAGCAGAGCAGATGGGTGTCACCACACTGGGCACACACTTCCCTGGACTCATCTCTGTCCAAACCAGCCGCCCTGGAGTTTCAGGGACCGGCTCTGGAAGCCCTGCAGTATCAGACCAGGGCTGGAAGTTCTAGTTCTACTGAGGCTCCAAGCCACATGGACTCTCCAGGTCCACCACTGTCTCCAGCCTCTGGCTGACAGCAGCTTGGAAATCCTGGGAGGCATCTGAATCCCCTCCAGCTGGTTTACGACACAGGTGATGGTCTGGGCTTGGGGTGGGATACAGAAATCTGGACTATGAACATTCCAGATGATTCCAGAGCTGGAAGGCCCAGGCTCACACTTTGTAAGTCAATAGCTTAGAGCCCCACGGCCCCCTTGCCCATCTTATCTAATGGTCCATCTCCCTGCCCAGTGGTTTACAACTGTACCCTGAGGACCTGGAGTGGCAGCTACATTCCAGGAGCCCCTACCGGGGGAAAAGATTACCAAGCTAAGGAGTCCTACACACACCTACATCCTTTCATCCTGGTTTTAAAAGGGTTCCGTGAAGGGTGTAGACTTCATTTGTCTTGAAAACTCCGAGAAACAAACCGCAGTCGAGCCTGCGGCTGGGATGAAGTGCAGGGCTGCTAGGCTGCGTGCCTGCCCATGGCCATAGGGCTCACGGGATGAGTTCAAGGGCCAACTAATACCAGCTCTTTCCTCCGCGTTGCAACAGGGTGGTGAGGTCGAGGCTGCACCGGACCTCGCGGCAGCACAGGGCCGAGAAGCCAGGGGTCTTTGGCTTTCAGAGAAGAGACAAGCTGGAGGCCCCGGAGAGCATGGCCTCAACTTCAGCACCAGACACCCTGCCCATATCGGTGGGAGCCCAGGGAGTGAGGCCAGGGACCTGCACTGGGCAGGGAGGCAGGATCCAGAAAGGACACCACTTCACTCAGACCAACAGCGGCCCAGGGCCCTGTCGAGGCTTTATTTGACACCACTCTGTTTCAATACAAACAGTCCAAAAAGAAAGTCATGTCCCTTTGGGGGAGGGGGCAAGGGAAGAAGGGTCCGTGTTGCTTGAGAGCCCAACCCCCACCCCACAGTGGGCAGCATAGCAGGGGTAAGATGGCACCGAGGAGGCCACAGCGCACGGCCAGGGGACACGGCCTGCAGCCCAGTGGGTGCCTCAAGCACTCACTGGTGGTGCTGTCCAGGCCCAAGACCAGGATGATACAGAAGGAGAAAGTTGAGCCCCAAGAGCCTGTTTCTGTCCCTTATGTCCTCTGCTTCCTTGGCCAGCATTACGCTCACAGCATCCAGAGCAGGGCACAGGGCAGATGAGACCCACCATGGCCACCAAGCAAGGGAAGAAGGGACAGAGGGTCCTGTGCGCCACAATGGATGGTATGGAAGGACTCCGAGACACTCAGGAGAAGTATCCCTCAAGTGATCACTGTAAAAAGGGGTGGTGAGACAGGAGAAGATCACTCGGGCCTCCAGTCTGATCCCAAACGAAACCTTTAGGTAGCAGGTCAAGTTCCTAGCCCTTAGTAAGGCCCAGAAGAAGGTCCTCCCTCCCCACCCCACCCCCACCCCGGGCGCCCACAAGAGCCTGCTGGAGCAGCAGTAGCAGCAAGTCCAGAGCCTCCCTCCCCCGGGGGCTGATCCACAGAACTCTTTCTGGACCTGCCCACTGGTTCCAGAGGATGGGGGCCAAACCCCAGACAACCTGGAAGGATCCTAGAGCTAGCAGAAAGCCTTATACTTCTCACTTTCCCTACTTAGGGAAGGGCTGGACCCAGAATCGGCCCGCCTGAGGGAACTCCTCCCCTCGCTCCCAGTGTGGCAGGACAAGTGAGCAGCAGCTTGCGGGGCAGGACCAGAGGACAGTAATCAGCACACAGGGGAGGGTGTGCGAGGGGAGGACAATAAAGGGCTCAGTGTACAGGCAGAGGTCAAGGCTGGAACCGCCCATCCCCCTCACCCGAGATCCTCAAAGGCCACCCCACTCACACACAACACATATAAAGTAACAATTCCTCCCCAGCTTCCACAAGGCAAGCGCCCCTGGCCTTGGAATCATGGGGGTTTTGCTGCTGTTGCCACCATTCACTTGCGCTGTGGCGCCTGGATCAGTAGGAACCATAGCGATCCTGGACGTGGGGGAAGAAAAAAACAAGTCCCAAGTCTCTCACCTGCAGCAGCATCCCCCACATGCCCCTGCAGGACTCTGGGGAGTCGGGCACCTATCTGAGCATGGCAGAGATTGTTTTATATTTTACTGTGATGCGGGAGAGGGGTTGTGGCCGGATCCCAAGGGGGGGGGGGTAGCCCTGCTTGATCCTGAGGCTGGGGAGGGGGAGGAGGAGCTAAGGTTACAGACAAGGCTGGAGAAATCAGTGCGGACACAGCATCATCTTAGGGAGTGGCCCAGCCCTGGTACCGAGCTCAAAAGCTGCCCCTCCAGGAAAAGAAAAAGCTTTCAGGCCCGGGTCCACCCAGCAGCAGTGTCCGGGTGTGGTGAAGGCCAAGCTCCCAGGACTCTATCACTTTCCGCCCCTGCCCCAGGCCAAGCAGCCCCAGCCTCACCTGCAAAGAATTCATCACACCATTGGCCAGCACAGCCATCTTCCCAGCCACAGACTTGACGCCCTGCTTAAACTGGGCAATGTCAGCTGTGGGGAGCACATTGCCCAGGGATACACTACCTGTAAAAGCAAGGGAAAGGGTGGCTCAGAGCCCTGCAGCAAGCCCTGCCCAGGCCCTGCTCTGCTCACAGGTTCCACCGGGTGTGCACCTTACCACTGGTGCCCTACCTACTCCATGAGCCCCATCCACGTCCCCGAAGAGGTCAGACGAGCTGATGGCACTACTGCCCGAGAGCTGCTGGAGTCGAGACCTGGCTTCATGCTGCGGTGAAGAAAGGGAAAGGCCTGGGGATCTTTTGGCCCAGCCGAGATACCCTGGTGCTGAAGCCTAAAGCAATGGGAAGGAGGAAGCTCTTCCCCCACCTGCCACCTCCAGGCTCAGGCTGGACGACGCTACTTACCTCAGCATCCACCTCCCGCCCAAAGAACATGTCCGATGAGATGGCTTTGGCTCCTGCAAATTTCTGACGTGCTTCACTGGACTCAAGGCCTGAGCTCCGGCTTTCCACTTCCCTTCTGTTTGTGACTCTGAGGGGTGGATGTGGGATACCTCTGATCCTTCTATCGCTATCAGAGACTCGTATTACTAAACCCATCACTAACAGAAGCTGAGAAAAGTGCTAGTGGCCTTCTGGAGAGACACTGTGGCCCCATCTGGCTGTGGCTCTGGGACTCCTCAACCCTCTCCCCTGGACAAGGCCCCTCTCTTCTCCACACCAAAGCCAAGGCACAAAAGAGCGTACACTGCCTCCACCAGGCGGTGTGGACACAGTCTAGAGGACACCAGTCCTCTACCCTGAACCACAAGAGCTTCACCCAGGATGTTATGACATCTGGCTCCTTCTCCATCACTACTGCCAGTCTACTCCAAGTTACAATTGGCCTAACACTAGAGTGACCCTATGTCTCTGTTTGCCTGAGTTTATACCTAGTCTCCTGGCATTTTGACTGGCAAAGGCATCACAGTGTGGACATAACGGCATATGGTCGCTCCTACCGATTGCTGACATGCATACACCCTGGGCTGGCTGCTTTGTAAGTTCTGTTACATTTAATCCTTCCAGCGACCGTGTGAAGGGACTACTCATATCCCCGTTTTACAAATGATTTGCAGGTAATTCATCAAACATTACCCAGGTTAACATAAACTTAAATAACATAACATGGTGGCCAGAAACACACAATCCCTGGGTGGCCAGGACTGAAGCATGACTGGGCCCCTCTTGCCAGAGGAACTGATACTGAACAAAAGAAGCTACTAATAAGCCTTCTGTGATGATTAAGCACAGCTCAAACCAGACTGTGATTCCTGCACTACCCAATCTGGTAGCTGCCAGTCACAGTGACTATATAAAATTATTTAAATTAAATAGTCAGTTCCTCAGCTGCACTAGCCACATCTGAAGAGCTCAGTAGGCACATACTTGGTGCCCACCACAGGACAGTGCAGGTATCCAGAATGTTCCCATCACAGAAAAATCCTACCAGACAGTGCTGCCCTAGCCCACTCCACCTTTCTGAAATAGGCCGGATGCTTGAGATGGTCACTTCTGGCTCCTTCTCCTCCATCCTGTCCACACCCCAGGCGGCATCTGTATCCCAGCGGGAACTGAAACTTTCCCCCAAGGAGAAGGGGTTGTCCTTGTACCTAGTGAGACAGTAGAGTAGCTTAGAAGAATTGAATGAGGAACTAGCGGCCAAGTCTGCACCCCAACGACAGCCTTACTTTGGGGGTCCAGAGGCGAAAGTACCAACATCATCAAACAAGTCCAGTTGCGCGCGGGAGGATTTTGCACTCACTGGGGTTTCCTGCTCAATCACCTGCATCTCCGACAGCACCGAGTGAGAGATAGAGCTGTGAAGACAAGTGGGGCCGGCCCGAGAGC